ATCGGAACGTCCTTAGTCTGCATACCAAATTTCAAGATCATGTGACTTATGGTTCCGAAGTTGTAACTGATGAACAATTCTACGCCTATGGGATGTGCCACGCCCCCTTTTACAAACTCGTTTATATATACCCTCCTATAAGCACCTACCATTGAAATGTCTGCATACGAAATTTCAAGATCGTGAGACTTATGGTTCCGAAGTTATAGCTGATAAGAAATTCAGCGCCTATGGGATGTGCCACGCCCCCTTTTACAATTATACCCTCCTATAAGCCCCTACCATTGATATGTCTGCATACCAGATTTCAACTTCGTGTGACTTATGGTTCCGAAGTTATAGCTGATGAAAAATTCCACGCCTATTGGATGTGCCACGCCCCTCTTTTACAAACTGGTTTATACATACCCTCCTATAAGTACCTACCATTGGAATGTCTGCATACCAAATTTCAAGTTCGTGTGACTTATGGTTCCGAATTTATAGCTGATGAAAAATTCCCCGCCTATGGGATCTGGCACGCCCCCTTTTACAAACACGTTTATATATCCCTCGTATAAGCACCTACCATTGATATGTCTGCATACCAAATTTCAAGTTCGTGTGATTTTGGTTCCGAAGTTATAGCTGATAAAAAATTCCACGCCTATCGGATGTGCCCCCTTTGACAAACTCGTTTATATATACCCTCCTATAAGCACCTACCATTGGTATGTCCGCATGCCAAATTTCAAGTTCGATGCGTGACTTATGGCTCCGAAGTTATAGCTGATAAAAAATTCCACGCCTATGGGATGTGGCACGCCCCTTTTTACAAACTCGTTTATACATACCCTCCTATAAGCACCTACCATTGATATGTCTGCATACCAAATTTCAAGTTCGTGTGACTTATGGTTCCGAAGTTATAGCTGATAAAAAAATCCAGGCCTATGGGATGTGCCACGCCCCCTTTTACAAACTCGTTTATATATACCCTCGTATAAGCACCGAACATTGATATGTTTGCATACCAAATTTCAAGTTCGTGGGACTTATGGTTCCGTAGATATAGCTGATAAAAAATCCCACGCCTATGGAATGCGCCACGCCCCCTTCTACAAACTCATTTATATATATCCTCGTCTAAGCACCTACCATGGATATGTCTGCATACCAGATTTCAAGTTCGTGTGACTTATGGTTCCGAAGTTATATGTGATAAAAAATTCCACGCCTATGGGATGTGCCACGCCCCCGTTTACAAACACGTTTATATATATCCTCGTATAAGCACCTACCATTGATATGTCTGCAAACCAAATTGCCAGTTCGTGTGACTTATGGTTCTGAAGTTATAGCTGATAAAAAATTCCACGCCCACGGGATGTGCCACGCCCCCTTTTGCAAACTCGTTTATATATACCCTCCTATAAGCACCTACCATTGATATGTCTGCCTACCAAATTTCAAGTTCGTGTGACTTATGGTTCCGAAGTTATAGCTGATGGGATGTGCCACGCCCCTTCTACAAACTCGATTATATATACCCGCCTATAAGCATCTACCATTGGCATGTCTGCATATCAAGTTTCAAGTTCATGTGACTTATGGTCTGGAAGTATGGCTGATTAAAAATTTCACGTCTATGGGAGGTGGCACGCCCCCTTGTCGGATCCCAATTTTTTTCATCCTAATATAGGCCCAGGTGTCATGGCAATACTCTGTCAAAATTTTGTTGGATTCTGTCTGTCCGTTTAGACTGCAACCTGGCACATACATACATACATACTTTCACAAGTAGATGTACTAATGTATAAACGATATCAAATAAATTGAAATTTAAATTTGTCCGTGAATGATGGACTAAGAGCCTCATTATCTATCCGGACGGTACGCCTGCAGCCACTGCTTTACAATAAATTTGCGTGCGTGATTTGTCAGAGTTGCATTTCTGTCTAATTTACAGAAGTTTCTTGAACAAAATTTAATTCTTAGTAGCGCCAAAATGTCACATGAGCACAAACGGCAACCGAAATGTCACGCAACATAAATCTTGGAATTTGAGTTAGCTTTTTACGTACGCCGTTCAATTTTCGGTTGTATGTTGTAACTTGTATGTGCATAAGAAATTTTTTACAGGAAATTGCCGTCGTGTGTGAATATTAGGTTGGCCTGTTAAAATGGTCACTCGGTTGCGTTTATGGTCGAGTGTTAGCAAGCGCTGTTGGAAAAAAATATAGTATGCCAAAAAAAACGATATTTCTTCAGTTGTAAATATAAATATACATATTTCAGAAATTTTCAAGAAAGAAATGTTTTAAAGTGTATGAATTTATACTGAAATAGCAATATTAAAAAAACACAACCCTTCAAACAAAGGGTCCACAGATCAAAAATGACAAAAGATTTACCAAATTTACTTAAAATAATTTCGCTTATGCTCTATTTTCCTACAACTTCGGCATTCACAGAAAGAGTTTTTTCTATTAAGATTGTGAAATGGTGAGATGAGAGAAATAAAGCGAATATCTCATTAATAAAAAATTAACTTTTGATTTATATTAATTTATATATTGATTGCGATAAAGCATATGATACTTTCAAAGAAATATATTTTTTATAGCGGAAATACATAAGAAAGAAAAAGATATACACTTAAAAAGCATTTTTACTTTTTCTTAAAAAAAAATACTCTATATAATTGAAGTGTACTATATTTTTTCAGATATTTTTGAAAAAGTACTATAAATTTCTTAGAAAATTTTGGCAACCCTATATCCAAATGTTCATGTAAGATGTTATGTACCCACTCAGTTGAGATGCTTACAGCCTCAGCAACTTCACACACTTTCATTCTCCGATCGTCAAATGACATTCCATGGATTTTTTAGACAATTTCTAGCATGACGATCTCTTTGGACGATCTGAACTTGTGCTGGTACCACCACAACGGAACTCAGTAAACTACTTTTTAGAGTTACTGCGCGAGAAATTCAAAAAGTCACTGACTTTTCAAATTGCTCGTATCAGTGTTGCCAACTTTTGAGTTTCAAAAAGCACCAAAACTTGGAAAAAAAAGCGTTTTACCGCACTAAAAGCATTACATTTTTTTGAATGAAAGGATACTTTTTCCTAACAGTTTGTACTTAACAAAAGTAAAAAAATAAACAATATTTACAAGTATAAATCAATACACAAAACTTCTTCGATTTCATAACGATTGAACAGCCTCCACCCATGCCATGATTACTTATAATACCGAAGTACTGCACATTAAAACTGGTATACATACCTCGAGAAAGAAAAATCGAATCGCAACCAACTAAAATTAATTTTAAAGGGGAAGATTCATACTAAATGATGCCCTAAGTAGAAAAAAAATTGTTGTTTTCATAATAGTTGTGTTTAATGAGCTGCTCTAGGTGACGCCAGGTTAAGAAATCTCATAAAATTGTGTTTCATGAGGATTTTTCTTGCTCTAACTTACTCTAATTTTTGTTTCATGAGTCTGCGCTAAGTGGAACTAGAGCAACTTAGCGCACGATTTTCTGTACCAGCTTTTTTGATGGAATAACTTAGAGCAAGCAACTGTTTTGAGAACTTCTGCCTGAAAAGTGTTTCATGAGATTTCTGACCTGAGTTGATCCAACTTGCTCTATTGTTTCTGACAGCTGCTCGATTCTGCTCTAACTTGAGCTGCTCTGCACTTTTTTCGGTCTCATTAAACACAACTAATATAATCTCAAATATCGAAAAAAACCATGTTTTTGGCACTTTGAGGTTAGGATATCTCACTTGCTAGAACAATTCTGCGACCATATTTGGATTCAACACCAAAATATGTACAAGATACCATGCGTTTTGAAAAAGTCAAACTTTGTCGAACTGTGTAATCAATCAAAATATGTACAAATAACTAGAAAAGAAATACTTAACTTATGGTGATTTCGTTTCTTCCAAAAAATTTTGCCCTTTCCCGGTGCAAAATGAGTTTGATGTTACACTCAACCCTTTAAGATGACATGTTTTTGCTTCTTGTCCTTGTCTAGCTCACCCCTGGCAAAGCTTCTTGCCTTACAAGAGTGTGACATTTTAAGAAACGAACACAAATTTTTCTCACCCTTTGCCTTTAATTTAGAATCGAACCCGAAAATGCGAAATTTTTTGGTAGAAACGAAAACACCATTACCTGTGTACTAGCATTTTCAAGGCGAATACAATTTAACAAGAACGTGGGTTTGCACTTCGGCTTTAAATTTGTAGATTCTTGTAAATTCAGTGCCGCCACAGCTTTAAATATTTCAAATAATTTTATGTTTTAACTATCTGTGAAAATATTGAGTTCAGAAAAAAGCACTAAAAAAGGCACTTGCACTAAAGCATTTTTCTTTGGCGTTTTAATTTTCAAAAAGCACTAAATCTAGTGCTTAAAGCACCAAGTTGGCAACTATGGTTCGTATGTATAACATATGTATGCGTATTTATGTATTTACTTGTGTACACAAGAATGTAATAAATAGACTTTTACCTGCGGAGCCGCCTCTTCGGCCACATGACGTACTGTAGTAGGCTGAAAGGTGCTCGTTAATGACTGAGACTGAAATTGCTGTGGCGGAATTTGCAATTGTTGATGATTAGTTGCACCAGTTATTGGTTTAAAGGGCTCATCCTCCTTGAGTGTAAAAGTTGTTGGCCCTGAGTAGAATACTTATGTATGTACATTCATATGTATGTTAAAAAAAGCTTATAAATATGTTTTACTCACCAATTTGATCAGAAGAATCACGCTTTCCCGTTTTACTTTTCGTCTCAGGTGCCAGGCTTGTAGTGACCTTTATTGTATCGACGGTTGTTTCCACAGCCAAGCTATCACTAATATTCGCCACATTTTCAGCGAAAGCAATAGAGAAGCATGAAATCGAGAGTAAAGCAAACTGTTGAAGAAAAATTGGATGAGAATGCATTTGATTAGTCACATACATATGTACTGTGACGTCTCTTAAATTTAAACTGATCTTCTAACAATGGCGCGGAGTGCTGTTTGGTCGTATTTAAAAAAAAAAAAATCCCAATAAAATTTAGGTGAAATGTGAAAAGTGTGGTAGAGAAATGAATTTTAATGACAACACAACAACATTGTCAAATCATTTAAGAGCAGCGCATTAAATTATTATACGAAAACAAATTCCTCGAATTTGTTAATCGTTTGTCTCCAAAATCTTCAGTTAATAACGAGGTAAGAAATACATAAGTGTTTATTTTAATAATTTCATCCAAGAAAGTTTTCCTCCATGAGCTTTTGTAAGTTTCTACAGACAGTCTTTGGTTCGAATTTAGCCAGTCCGTAAGGTACAAAATTTTAAACACCGATGAAAATGTTGCTGGTAAAATTCCTGAATAACTCAGTGAGAGGGGAGACCAGTATGTTTGCATTTAGTGTAGTGTAGTGGGTAGGCACTGTGGCCAATGGTAATCAACTATTACCACCTCTGCAAGGTTTTAAGCCATGCAGAGTCCTCAAAAAACTCCGGAAGCAGTGTCCGGAGGATGCATCAGACTAGGCTGAGCATACTTTGAAGTGCCGTCTAATTAGAACTTAAGAAAGTTAAATTACATGGCAGTTGAGAAGTGCATGTGCAAATATTTCATAAATTGCATAAAGGAAATTTTTGCACATGCAGCAGTACATAGCATGCATTTAGGCGCCTGGTGTTAGCACACGCGCCTAAACAATTCCAGTTGATATGCGACATTAGTCGTGTGGAAAATCCCAATCCACTAGCTGAGTTCAACAAAGCACGCCAGTCGTTTCTCTTCTGTGCCAACTGACGCAAATTGGAAATGCAAAGTGAGCCAAGTCCTTCTCCACTTGGTCTTTCCAACGCAGTGGGGGCCTCCAACATCTTTCTCCCGAATACTCCAAGAGCCGCCTCATCGGATGTTGTCATTGTCCATACTTCCCGAGTATACGAAATTCTCTACGTTCTCGAAATTGTTGCAGTCAATAAATAGTAACGTGCCAGGGCGCGAATGTGCTGACTGTTTGTTTGATGACAGGAGATACTTTGTCTTGTCCCCGTTTACCACCAGACCCATTTGCTTTGCTTCCTTATCCAGCTTGGTAAAGGCAGAACAGACTTCGCGGTCCTTGCTACCGATGATGGCGATGTCATCGGCGTACGACAGCAATTACATGCTCTTGTAGAAAATTGTTCCTGAGCGGTTCAGCTCTGCAGCTCTTATTATCTTCTCCAACATCAGATTAAAGAAATCACACGAAAGGGACTCACCTTGTCTGAAACCTCGTTTGGTAGGAAACGGATCGGAGAGGTCTTTCCCAAATCTGGTACTGCGCAACGTCATTTTACACAGCCGTATCAATTTCGAGGGGATGCCGAATTCAGACATCGCGGCGTATAGGCCACTCTTTTTAGTGCTTTCAAAACCGGATTTGAAGTCGACAAATAGTCGATAGTGAGTCTCGATCCTTTTCTCGCGAGTCTTTTCCAAGATTTGGCGTATTATGAATACCTGGTCTATGGTGGATTTGCCAGGCCGGAAGCCACACTGATAAGGCCCAATCAGTTCGTTGACGGTGGTCTTCACCCTTTCACACAACACGCTCGATAAGATCTTGTAACCGATGCTTAGAAGGCTGATCCCCCGTAGCTGGCGCGAATGGCGGGGTCGCCTTTCTTGTGGATTGGGAAGAGCACACTTAAATACCAGTCGTTGGGCATGCGTTCATCTGACCATATTCTGCATAAGAGTTGATGCATGCACCTTACGAACTCCTCGCCGCCGTACTTGAATAGCACAGGTGGCAGGCTGTCAGCTCCAGCAGCTTTGTTGTTTTTCAAGCGCGCTATTGTTATTATTACCGCGTCGTAGTCAGGTGGTGGAACATCGACTCCGTCATCATCGACCGGGGGGTCGGGTTCATCTTCTCCACTACTTTCAGAGTTGTTGTCATTCAGTAGGATGGAAAAGTGTTCCGTCCATAATTTAAGTATGTTCTGGACATCAGTTACTAGGTCGCCATTGTTGTTCTTATAAGAGTTCGCCCTGGCCTTAAAACCTTCTGTAAGTCGCCTTACTCTCTAATAAAATTTTCGGGCGTTTTTCCTGTCGACCAGCACTTCAAGCTCTGCCCACTCATGTACTTCGTCCTCTCCCTTCTTACTGCGGCAAATACGTCTCGCTTCCTTCTTCTGTTCCCTATAATGGTCCGACATGGCTCGCGCTACGCCCGATCGCAGCGTGGCCCTATAGGCGGATTTTTTTTCTTTGCAGCTTCTCGACACTCCTCATCGTACCAGTTATTCTTTCGGGCTCGCTGGAATCAGACTACTTCTTCGGCGGCGGTACTTAATGAACAGGTTCCACTGCTCGCATATGTCGGATTTTCGTAGAGTGCTCTCTGAGAGCAGGTGTGAGAGTCGAGTAGCGAATATATTGGCCGTCTGTTGTGATTGCAGCTTTTCGACGTTAAGCTTTCCTTGTATTTTTGGGCGCACAATTTTTTCTGCACAGAGGCGATTGCGTATCTTGGTTGCAACAAGATAGTGGTCCGAGTCAATGTTTGGCCCTCGGAGTGTACGTACGTCCAAAACGCTGGAGGCATGCCTTCCGTTTGTCACAACATGATCGATATGATTTCTCGTTTTTCGATCTGGAGGCAGCCACGTAGCTTGGTGGATCTTTTTATGCTTGAACCTAGTACTGGATACTACCATGTTTCGGGCCCCGGCGAAGTCGATCAGCCTCAGTCCATTGTCGGACGTTTCGTGGTGGAGGCTGAATTTTCCGACGGTGGTTCCAAGGATCCCTTTCTTGCCTACCCTGGCATTAAAGTCGCTAAGCACGATTTTGATATCATGGCGGGGGCCACGCTCGTATGTGAGCTCCAAGCGCTCATTGAAAAGATCCTTGGACGCCTCGTCCTTCTCTTCCGTCGGGGCATGGTCGCTGATTAGCGAAATGTTGAAGATTCTCGCCTTGATGCGGATTGTGGCTAGACGCTCGTCCCCGGAGGGAACGACAGTACTCGGTGACGGAGTCTCTCTCCCACCACAAATCCAACACCGAATTTGCGCTCCTTTACATGGCAGCTGTAGAATCCGTCGCAAAGCCCCAGGCATTGCATTCCTTGCCCCGTCCAACGCATTTCTTGAATGGCAGTGATGTTAGCTTTTGTTCTTACGAGGAAATCAACCAGCTGGGCAGAGGCACCTTCCCCATTAAGGGTCCGGACATTCCAGGTGCATGCCCTCAAATCGTAGTCCTTTAAATGTTTGCCGTGGTCGTCATCAAAAGGGGGGTTCTCATCCAAGGCTTTGTTTGGATTTTTCATGGGAGCCTGATTTTACGTGGCGAGTCCCAAACCCAGCGCACAACCCATTGCTGGTCCGGGGGTGGTTTCGCAACCGAATACAGTTTATATAGCGAGCCGCTTGCAGCCGCACCTACCGGTGAACAGACGCTGCAGACTTCAGTGAGCCTTTAAACCGAATAAGTCGGAGTGGCCTTACTGAAGCTCCCTCTCTTTCTGCCGTGACCCAAGGCTCGAATCGGATTGGTTGCCGCATCTCGCACATGGATCACTCACGTTGCCTAGAGTGCGCGATCGAGGACGCAAGAGTCGGGATTGAGTATAGCCGTGCAACTGTAACTGCATACCCAGCACAACGACTACACCCCAAGGGAGAATATCCGGTGTCTAAAAAGTGGCACTTAAATTTCTACCAATACTCGGCACCTCTTTTCCATCGCAAAGACAATATTTTCCAAAAGTACGTAATTACTGAATATCGATTCAAGAAAATTTTTAGATTTTTTTTGGTGAAAATTTAAAAATTTTTAAATTATTTTCCAAAAATATAAATTTTTAAAAACCCTCACAACCAACATTTTCATGCTGTATAACTGGCACAATTTTCAAAATTTTTAAAAATCCTTTAGTGTCTGTTTGTTTTTCACCTAGCATTGAATTTCGCTTCACTTATTCTAAAGACCGCTAGTAAAAGATGATATTTTTGGCGTATTTTGACCCTTACATTTATATCTTATATATGGGTGAAAATTTCTTAACTGGACCTCGGATTTCAGTCAAGTTCGAATTTTTGCGTGAAAATTTGAGGGTAGAGAGGTTTATAGATGTGAAAGAGATTTTGAGAATTTTTTTTTTAATTTAAATTTTTAAAGTTTTTATAAGCAAATATATTTTTAACCAATCTTTTTTTCACAACTTATTTTTTCTTAAAGTATTTGACGAAGGTTGATGATTCCAAAAAAATGGACTTGATCAGATTATTTTAACACATACTGTTTAGACGCGACTGCTAACACCAGGCGCCTAAATGCATGCTATGT